TTTAAACAATTTATATATTTTCTACTCATTATCTTTTAAGTCAACGACAAACAGCAATACACAGTATATGTCTAATCCTTATTGAAAGTTATTACCTTCGAGTCATGCTTTATTTGCCTGTACTTATAGATTTTTGACTTTGTGTACACCAAATAACTTTAGCTCTGTTCTTAGTTTTCGCTGGCAGTTAGCCAAGTTCTCCTGTAAGACGATGTGTTGTATGTAATGGTTGTGGGTTGTAGGTTTGGTTTTGGATACTTGAAACTATATCGCGTCAGTGAATAGATTCTTTCGCACCGTTGAGCAAATTAAATTTCATAAAAGTCTGCTTTGTGAATTGATAAAATTGTGTTTGGCTGTGTTCTTACGAGTATATCTGTGGGGTAGAAGGTTTATATTATCTACATTTAGAAATTCGTGGTCAAATTTGAAAATCACAGGCATTAAAGTTAAGGTCGATGGCACGTTTACACATTATTAGTAATCAATATACACTACTACTTGAAATGGTTTCAGAGTTTATACATATTTTCTTCGTTTTCATAATTAAATTATCGCGTGATTACGTGATGATTAAACGTGGTGTGAAACGATTGCGCAATTTTGTTTTTTTCTTTTACAATGTTAGGAACATAGAGACATAAAAACCATATGCGCCATTTATCAAATAAGTATCGTCACTATTGTGTGCATACTTTTAAACTTAGATTCTTAAAGATGGAAGATCGAGATATGAGTATGATTTTAACTCATTTTCTGTTAAAGACTAAATATGCTCCTGAAGTTATTCGCATTTCTAAGTCGTTTCAGGTCCCTTGGTGTCCTTAGAGCTACTTCCTCCATCGTCGTGCTCAATCTATTGTTGAAAATTACGCCTGTCACCACAATTTCTCTTGTAACGGTTCTGGGAAGCGTGACGAAGTCAATCTACACTACACATCTTGCCCTACTTTCCACGATCCATGAACGTCGAATTCCAAGCAGAAAAAAGCACCAAAGTCCATCAAGGGCTTGAAAGATGTATGTTCGAATGGGCTTACTGTGAGTCTAGCTTCTTTGGTCGCCTTTCACGTGAAATCAACCGTTAATTTCGAGGCAAGGCTTTTGAACCTTGAACTATTCAGTTTCGTCAACTTCCAATTCTTGTTCATTATTTTGTTATTAGTGTCAAGTGATGTGCCCAGTTGTGTCGCAATGGCTTTTTGGGTCGAAGGTTTTATATATATAATATATCACTTTGGGAATGACAGTATTGCTCCGAATTGTCTTGAAATGTGGTTTCGGAGCTTGTTGCTGTCTTAAACGATCTCCTATGCATGTTTTCTAGGGGTGCGTATCTTATCATAGTAATCGATACAATACATAGCTAGATATTGATTCCGCAATACAATACGTATCTAGATACAAAAGTTTTGCTAGAAAGGTTGACAGTTTGTTCTGTAATTTATTATCTATAATACTAATATTGTCTTATTTAAGTACTTCACACTTTACAGTGCTTTTTCAAATTCCCAGTTTTTAGTCAAATAAATGGCAGCTGGCAAGAGAAGTAAAAAAAATAATAATATCTGTCTATTTTGTTATTGTTAATTTGTTATGTTACTTTGCATTGTGTTGCTTTGTGCTTAACTTCAAACAAACAAACAAATACTTTGCATGTGATGTTTTTGATGAAAGAAATAAAGACAGCATGTAGTATTCAATACACATCTTTCTTTATCGCAGCCCACCAGTGGTACAGCGGTATGTCTGTGGACTTGCAACGCTAGAAACCGGGTTTCGATACCCGTGATGGGCAAAACACAGATCGCACATTCTGTAGCTTTATGCTTACTACAAACAAACGTTTATTGAATCATTAATTTTTAGCCAAAATACCTTATTAGAAGTTCAGATTTTTCCTGTACAAAAGACTTATAATGTTTACTGAAAGTTTGCCAAATTTTATGAAGGTACATAAATCGTATCGTATCGGACGATGTATGGATACAATCGTGTCACGGCTTCACGATACGATACTCGTATCGTATCGCTGTATTTCCACACCTTTAATATTTTCCAATCTCTTTGAAGAATATCTAATAATTCGTTTACTGTATGGACATCTTTTTTAGGAAAAACCTTTATTTCCTGTACCTATAATTTGACACCTGACAACATTACAGTCTAGAATGGTCGAAAATTCACGAATCAAAGATACAGGTGCTAAGCCTGTGTCTGTAGCATAACAGCACACATCTGCTTCGCAACGCTACCTTATTAGTGTGGTTAACTGTCTGTAATTATGAATTAGTCAGTTGATGGAAGGATTCATATGAAGTATTTATATTTATATGAAAGAATTGAGCAGGGTGTGGCCAAGTGGATATCATGAGCGACTGTGAATCCGAGGCTCAAAGGTTCGCGTTCCTTTGCACTATAAATGCGCTTCGCACTTTGTAGCCGCGGGTATACTTAAATAGTGACAGTGAAGTCCCACTATTTGATCAGAGTAACCTAAGAGTTGGCATTGGGTGCTGTTTTCTATAACTGCCTTCCTTCTAGTCTACCAGTTTAAAATTAAAGCTGATATACGTAAATAGCCTTTGTGTAGCTTTGAGATAAAATCTAAAGTAAAACTCTAACAATAAATATAGATGAGAAGGGAAAAAGATCTGATTTTCATCCTTTAATAGCTTAAAAGATATTTCGAAATAGCACAATCAATAATTTTCGCGTATATTTTACGACAAAAACTTAAAAGGAAGATTAAAGAGACATCCAAATATAAAATAAATATAAATATAAAATATGTATATATATATATATATATATATTTATTTGTCTTTTTGTTTACATCCGTTTAAATGAAGTGCGCGCGCATGTGCATTTAGATAGTAAGTTGCACGCGCATTTTCAGGACAGACAAAAACTGAGTATCATTATAATAGATTATCAATAGATTTTACTTAGGTTAGATATTCTGTAAAATTATCCATCTAAAGAAGGTTAATCGCACTTTGTAAAAAAGAATTTTCATGTGCTATGGCAGTGAAGTGATGCCACAAATACGAATGGTGACGTCACGAGCGACATGTTTCAGGTAAACATACGACTACTAGTTATCAGGATAGAAAGTGCCTAACTAATACGTCACAGCTCTTTTTGAGGAATGTTATTCTCTGAGTTTATTGGTAAACGATTCAGAACCAAAGGAAACAACATTTCAAAGTCTTAAGTATTCATCTTGGAAGCGGTAAAACTCACGTAGCGAAAAGTTCACGACTGAAAGAGACACTGGAGACACACCTCAATTCATCAGCTGTAAAGTGAAGGCTATGGTTGCGACAAAGAATCCTCCGACCCTCCAAACCACAACTATTGCGATAAAGTTGTGTCTAAGTTCTGGCATCGTTAGG